GTTTTTATTTTTATTATTATTTTTATTATTATTTTTATTTTTATCTTTATTTTTATTTTTATTTTTATTAATGCTGTCTTTGTCGTCGACGTTGTTTGATTGTTGTCGCTGCTGTTGCAGCTACTGCTATTGCAGCCTCTGCTGTCGTCCTTGTTGAAAGCGGTGGTGGTGGTGACTTCGCTCTTCATTCAACCAGCCGGCCGATAATATTTTCAAAGCCATTTTCTTAAAAACTTTTATGGATTGGCATCATCCTAAAAACTACACATTTTGTATATTTTGTCAGACTTATCCCTCCTGTGAATTCCTCATTCTAGTGTGTGTACTTTCTGTGCGTTAGTGTCTCTGTCTACGTGTTCGGTCTCTGCTCGCTCAAAATTTAGTTTTTACAACTGAACCTTCAAAAATTCGTTTATTGTGATTTGCGTTTCGTTATTACATAATACTTTCTTCAGTACTGATCATTATGCACTGTGCTTCTCGTCTTATTATTATTACTGCTTTTTTTGCATGCAAATGCGGGATCTAAAACAGTGGATAACTGTTGTCTGAAGAAAGAGAAAGAAGAAAAAAAGAAAAAAGAGAAAAGTTTTCTTCTATGAAAAAATTTTCAACTAAACTGATCATATCCAGTGAAAAAAACTAAAGCTGATGGAAAAAATGGTTTCAGAAGGCAAACACGTCAGATTTAATATCTCTGATTCTATAAATCCTTCGTCAAGGAACACTTCTACAGTCGACGTTGACAAAGAAAGCCGAAAATTATTTGTTGAAAAATTTTATATTTCTAAATTTACAAAGCGCGGTGGCAGTAACCTTTCAATCAGCCAAACATTTCCAATTCAACATCGCACATCATCGTCGTCGTTATTATCACCAACAGTACGGGCATCGTCATCGTCAGAATCGTCAACCGCCGCAGCAATGGACTACTATACGTTCGAACCGCGGATTTCGCGTTCCAAGAGTGTTGCTGATTCCGTAAGTGGCATGATATGTTTGTTACCTCTTCATTTCGTTTCTTTTTTTATTGTCGCCTAACGCGTATTTTGTGGGTGAGTTAGGGAAAATATAAGAAAATCAAGGCTAGAAAAAACTTCCTAGTTTTATAAATATTTTTTTCGCAAAGGGTTTTACTTTCTGAGTTTGTCGGTGTAATA